CAACTTGTGAATGATAACCGAGGGGTCAATGCCTTCTATGTCTTCTTATTTCCAAGCGAACACCCCCATATTCTCCTTAAGGAATAGGATGAGAAGGTCCTTAACCTCTCTGCTCAGTTTAGTCCCAATGTAGACGAGATGTTCAGGCTCTTCATTAAGCTGAACTGACTCCAGCTCTTCCGATGGCGTTGGCCTGGTGCCTAGTTCGTCCCTCATATCCAGTTCATCTAGTCGTATGTTTACAACTTCTTTTTGCTTCATCGAAGTCAAGTAACATTCTCTTGCAACTCGTTGATCTCCTTGGACCACTCTAACTCCGTTTTTCGTAGGGAATTTCATGACCAGATGATAGGTTAAGGGGATGACCTTCATTGCATTGAGAAAAGATCTCTCAGGCAGCATGTTGTATGCAGACGGGGCGTCAACCACTAGAAATCTTATTGTAGTGGTTGCCTAGCAGGGGGGTCTCCCATAGTGAGCACAAGTTGGATTGAGCCCAGCGGCAACACTCATTCTCCTACAAATCTCAACAGGTGAGTATTCACGAGCTCCAGCTTTTCCCTTCCTATGCTCATTTTGTCAAATGTAGAAGCAAATATGATATCTGTTGAGCTTTCGTTATCTATCAGAACCCAGTGAACACTTCAGTTAGCCGCAATAGCCCTTACCACTAGCGGGTCGTCATGGGGGTGTTGGTATCCTTCCAAGTCTGCATCTGAGAATGTGATGTCTGAGCTGAGTCGTGGTGCTTTAGATACAGCGTACACCTCCAAAGCCTCACCAGCTCTGATTCTACGTAAGTGGGTTTTCTTGGCTGAACTAGATTCCCCACCACTTGTAAAACCCCCTGATATTACCCTGATCTCTCATAGGGGTTGTTGGTGCTGCACAGGAGCCTGCTGCTGAAGTGGTGGAGGTGGTGGGGCTCGATTTTGATTCTCCTAGGCTACGTAACGACGCAATTGCCCTCGTTGGGTCAGGAACTCTATCTCCTTCTTTAACTGAATGCAGTCATCAGTATGATGATCATAGTCCTGTGGTACTCACAGTACTTTGAGGGTTCCTTTTCGCCGGGTCCGCTTTCATTTGAGGTGGCCACCTCAAGAATTTTTTATTTTATATTTCATACAAGATTTGTTATATTGTTGTGGTGAGTGGGAGAATTTGTCGAGGTGCGTACCTCGGTTATAGCTCCGAATGAGGTGGTCTTAGGCAATCTCTAACGTCCCTCCTTCTTTTGGGGGAGCTATCTCTGTCTCTTCTTGGGGACCTATCTCTTCCTCTCTCTCTCCTAGGACTTCGATCCTTCTTTTTCTCCTCTTTCCCTTTGTCTTTTTGCATGGATGAGCTCCCCACTTTTGAGAGAAAAACTTCTTCATCGTTTATGTACTTTTCTGCCTTGGCCAGTACTTCGGCACTGCTGCCCTGGGGATTTTTCGAGATGGAGAATATCAGGTCTTTAGATTGGACACCCAAGCCAGCTATAAATGCAGTAATGACAAATTTCTCGTCTAGGACATCCACTTTTAGCGATTCCGAGTTGAACCTCTAAACATAGGATTTGAGGCTCTCGTGGGATCCCTGTTTCACATTTAATAAGTGGTAACTCGACTTTTTGTACGTTCGAGCTCCTATAAAGTGAGACACAAAGGATATGGATAGCTCCTTAAAGCAGGATATCGAGGCTGGGAGGAGCCTATTGAACCATGCTAAGGCTAAGCCTTTTAGTGTGATGACAAAAGCTCTGCAGCGCACTGGATCCTGGTATCCATGCAACTCCATCGGGTTCTTGTAAGTGTTGAGGTGATCTACAGGATTCTTTGTTCCACCAAAAGTCTCTATCTTAGGTACTCTGAATTTTAGAGGGAGGAAAAAATGCAGCACATCAGTGGTGAATGGAGATTCAGTCTGTTGTACCAAGGCGTCCATCGTAACTAGAGTCTTGCCTCTCACAACTTCTTTCATGTGGCTGAGCTCTTGCTGGATACCCTGGAAGCGCTGCTGCCAATATTGTTCTCTCATTTCCTGTTGATAGGGGAAAAAATCGTTTCTCTCACCTTCTTCGTTCTGACTCTGCCCTTCGTCGTTGTGGCCATTCCTGGGGGTTACGCAAGGTTCTAGCCCCATGGTTTGTCTGTTTTCCCCTTCTTCGTTAACTTCTCTAAGGGGGTCGAGGTGTGATTTCTCCCTAGGTGGGTGGTTGTTCTGGCCTTCTTGAGCCTGCCGTGCCTTCTGTGGGCGTTGTAAGAGCTTTAAAAGTTCTTCATTTTGTTTTAGCAAGCGTTGATTGACGAGGCGAATGGCCTCTATCTTGTTATTCATGGGGAGACCCCCCACGGGTGAATTGGTCTCTTGGACATTCTCAGGTTGTCTGTTATTAGCAGCTTCTTGTTGATCTTGCACCTGTGGTGAATTTGTCTGACTTCGGTTCATGTTTCAGGTTGATACCATCAATCATTGAAAAATCAATTTGTTTATAATAGGAACAGTTGTTTCCACAGATGGCGCCAAACTGATGGTGTATTTCAACGTGATGCAATTTTGTGATGACGAGTAAATGAAAGAAATAATCTTAAAAATATTGGAATCTGAGCTACTAGACTCGAGGGAGTGATACTGAGAATTGTTGAGGAGTTGGGAAATTAACATAGTAGAAATATGGTGGTTCACCAACTCAAGAGCTCGGTTAATCCACTCTTCAATGGAGATTCTTGCTCCTTCCTTCACTGTTTTCTATATCAAAAAGGATTACACAATGTACGATGTGATACTAGGGTTCTTGTCCCTCTGTTGGGGGCGTTATATAGTAGTTATAGGGGTATCCCTTAATCTATCGGATCCAATCCGTGATCCTTGCCATCTATCAGAGGAATTCTCCTTAGTTTTAAGAGAGTATCTTGGTTGGTTGGGAATTTTGTGCCTTGAGTGTTATTTCAAACCGCCTTTCGAGTTCTTTGTAGTATCCAGTTGTTTCTTTCCTACTTCAACTTATTATCTAGTTTTGAGGGGAGCTCTAGCTCTGATTTTTTGAACTCTGAATGACTCTAACCTTCTGAGCTCCAGCTCGGGAATCATTCTGAGTATCATCAAACCTGAATATTAAAATCAAGTTGAATTCTATTATTAAATAGGGTTGAACTCAAATATACATAAATATATTTAACTAGGGTTAACATTTATCTTCACTCTTCAGAGTTCAGACTTTCACTTCATTTTAAATCTTCATTTATACACCTTCATTACTCCCAGATCCCTCTCTCATTCATCACTCCCCCCTTTCTCACTCCCTCTTTCTTCATTTGTGTATCGTCCTTCATCTCAGATCACTTGAAAAAATTAGATTTATACTTGAAAAAAATCAAATATACACTTAAAAAAATTAACTCAAATTAAGTAACCAAAGTCCAACCAAATTAAAAATCAACCTGAATTAGATAACTTGAATTCAATCTGAGTCTATCCAAATTAAACTCTGTCAATACTTGAGTTAATTATCTGAGGTTGAGGTAAGGTTGAAAAATATATACCTAAAATTGAATTAGACTTGACCTCTCAATCCACTTGAATTGCACCCCTATTCTTCCCCTCCAACATGGGGAATAAATATTTGTTGAACGGTTATAGCACGTTAGGGCATTTTGTGGTATAATTGGTTAATAATAAATGAAAAATTAATTGAGTGAATTGTATAAAATTCAATAATTACTAATTATTTTATATTAAGAATTGAGTAGCATTTTATTTAATTTTTTAAGTATTCTAATGAACGGTTACGCCACTGTTGGTTTGAATATTTACTCATACCCACAATTAGTATTCTATGGTTTTCTAGATTTTTTTTTTTTTGAGTAACGGAGAAATTCCTAATTTATCTTTAGCAAGTAGAAGTGTTTATGTTGCTTAGACTCACAAGTCCGAGGATAAATTTTGGATATATAAACTAAAATCTCAATTTATACACTAGTTAAATTAAGACTAGTATTCGTCCAAATAACTGAAGTTTATTCTATCAATCAATTATATTTTTATCGTGCATGAGACTTGAGTTTTTAACCTTAAAAAGATAAAATTTTCATAAAATAAGAGATACCATTAGACCAAATTCTAAAGTTAGTTTTGAGAAATTATACGATGTCTCTTTTGTACTTTAGGTACGGTCTCTAAATTTCATTTTTTTCCATTTCGATCCAAGACATTTGAACTATTTGAATTTTAAACTTTGAAGCGAGCTTTAGAGAGGATTATTTAGGGCATTTTTCATTGTTATTTCATTCATATATGCTATGTATTTTGGTTTGTGTTCTTTTTAAGTCTATGTTTTCCTTAACTATGGAGCTTATAAAATTTTACAATTATTTTATCAATTAGATATTAAATTCTATGTTTACTTATTATCTTAAGTTTTGTGTGAGCTACTCCCGAAAGGCTAGTTTAGTGATAATTTAGTCACGATCGATAAACCTTTCATCAAAGATAGGTGAGGCGTTTTAATATTTCACAAAGTGTAATTTTTTGAAGCCATTGTACATAGATTTACACACTTGTATGGAAAAATAACTTTGCACAAAATTTAGTATTAGTCTGATACGTGAGTATGGTAGTACTATGATCTACTAACTAGATTATTAAAAAAAAAAAAATTGTGTTAGTCATCAAATGTAAAGAGGCGGCCACAATGTTATTTGATGAAAAATCAAGGGATGCTAATGTAATTTAACCAACCACCTAGCTTTTAATGGTCCTTGGTATGACTGTAAATTTCAACATTAGCTAGTGCAAATACTGTTAAGTTTGCAATCAATGGTCTTCTCAGCCAATGGATTCACTTTTTGCACGGATTCCTGAAGCGCGCCGTGGTTTATACTTCTCTCTCTCTCAGTCGCTCACGCTCATTTTCTCTCTCCTTCCCATATCTTTCTCTGAGACCTCAACAACCCTTCTTTATAACCACCTCTTTCTTCCCCTCTTCCCCCATTAAGCTCCCTCTCCCTCTCTCTCTCTCTCTCTCTCTCTCTCTCTCTCTGTGAAGAACTTTCATGGACTACACAACCACAAGAAGGTCTTCTTTCTTAGAGGAAGACGATGGCCTTGCCTCTATTGCTGACATCGAAGCTGGGTCCTCTGGAAACCACAACCACCATCACCATCACCATAACCACTTCATCTCAAGGCCTATTTATTACTCACAAAGAAGAAGTAGCCTGGGAAATCTTTCAAACTACTCTGTACCTTCTCCAAGATCTGGGAGGTTCAATGATACTAGATATGAGGAACATCAACCTTATTTTTTAGATGCTTGTTCTCTTTGCAAGAAACCACTTGGCGATAACAGAGACATCTTCATGTACAGGTTAGTTTGTCAATCTTCTCTGTAAACTCTCTCTCCTTTCTTAACCCTGCATAGAAGTGAAGTTCAAGACCCATTTTTTAATTTTTCCAAAAAAACAAAAATTTACCTTGTTTTGATAGGAATTTATTGTAAGATGAGTGATTATTCCCCTGTGATTTTTCCTGGTATATATTTTATTTATGTCATTCATGGGGCATAAAAGTGTTTGGTTATTTTTTTTTGGTTTTTGAGAAAACTGTGGGAGACCCATTAATAAAGTTGAACTTTCTATTGTGTTTCTGCTTGACAAAGTTGCTAGTGAAATTTAAATAGGAATTCAAAGTCAGCCGAGTCAAAATAGTTGGACTATGGGAGAGAATTGAATAATGCTGGCCAAAATATAAAAAATTGAAGATTTATGGTCTAATTTGATGAGTAATGCCAACCAAAATATGAAAATTTCAGAGATTTATGATCTAATTTGTTCTCTTTTCCTACTCTTTCCCAGTAACCAAACATCAGTGTTTCTTGTTTTGTCATATTGTCATCAAAATCTCAGATGGGTTTGATTCAATCGATGTTTTCTTCTTTCATCGTAATAATATTGATCTGTATATATAATTGATTCGTGGTCTGATTATTGATTGGGTTTGACTCTGGTTTTGATCTTGCAGAGGTGACACCCCATTCTGTAGTGAAGAGTGCAGACAAGAACAAATAGAGATTGATGAAGCCAAAGAAAAAAGCTGGAACCTCTCTGCTTCCATGAAAGCCTTAAGGAAAAAGGACCCGGAGAAATCTAGTACCTCCCCAAACAAAACTACCAAAGACTTCCCTTTCCGTACAAGCACTGTGGCTGCTGCATAATCAATATTCAAACCCCCCTCCATAAGACAAAAAGACAAACTTTTTCAAAGAAAATATGTAGATTTTGGCTCATGAACAAACGAGATAGCTGAGACTTGAGATCAGAGAAGCCGGACTAAGAAAACTTGTTTTGAAGATATTTTATTACCTAATATTTTACTGTAAATGTCTATATGAAGGCCAGTGAGCTATGCACTGGTTGGGGTGTGCTCTTTTGATGGCTCTTTTTTGGTGGTTTTTGTTGGAGTTTTCTTTGTTCTGTGTTTTTTTGGTTAACTCTGATGGGTTTTTCATATGGAATGGTGACAGTATAATGGTAAAGAGAAAGTTATGCTATAAGAAAATTTTCTTCCCATTGATGAGTTCACTTTTTTTCTTGTTCTTTTTCTTTTCTCCCGCAAGTTGTTAAGTGTGGTTGTTTCCTTTTGCTTTGATACTGATGTGTGTCTTTTGGGCCATTGGAGTGCCAAAACTAAACAATTTCCTGGTAGGTTGGAGGGGAAAGTGGTCTGCAAGTGCTTTGTAAAAAGTGCTTTTGTGGGAAAAATCTCTCTCTCTCTCTCAGGTTGGTATTAAGTTCTGGGAGTTGATCTAGGGCTGTATCATTCTCTCCATGGACCCCCAAAAAATTGGCATTATGTGATCATGACCACCCCTGTCATCGTGGTTGGCAACTCAGCTTCCATTGTTAACTTAATTAACTCAAAAATAGTTAAAAGCCAGGGTATCAACCCTCACTTTGAAGGGTGGAGATATTTAGTCACATCATTGTGAAATAATATCCAAAATATTACATTGAAGTTTAGGATATATGAAAAGCATCACTGTGCAGTGTAGTAATTGAAATCCAAGATATGAACTAGTATCCTTTGATTCGATGGCGATAAACCTAACAATTCAATAGTCATTGAAGAAAACTTTTAGTTCGATTCAATGACGATAATTCAAAATTCGATAGTTAGTCATTGAAGAAAACTTTTAGTTTATAGAGTACGTTAATGGTATCAAGCATCGAAAGGTGTTGAGTTGCATTGATATCTACCATTACTTTAAAACATAATATAGATCTTTTCGAGAAGTTTGTGGCGTTAATTATTTGTGGTATTTGATGTATCATGCAAGTTTAAGTCCAATTATGGTGGACCCTAGTAGTAGATTTTAGATGTATATGTCTATATCATGGTGGTGTTTTGATCACGACATTGATATATTAGAGTCTCATGTATTGAAATTGCCAACCCACTGGTATTAATGTTATACTGAACTAGCAATGCTATCTCTATCCCATTTTATTATAAAATGGCAAAAAAAGGACATTATCACATTTCAAATTCAACTAGTTGCTGTCTTAGGCTAGTGATAAATGTGAGATCATTAAGTAGGTTTAGATTCTGCTAAAGTTTTTGGTAATGTAATGTGGCATGTTAGGTTTTGTCTAATTCATAATTCATTTAACCCGGCTTGGTAGACCTTTGGGTCTACCTACCGGGCGTGGTAAACCACTCTATTAGCCAGGTGTTCGGAGTAAAAAATAAAAAGTTCATAAAACAATTTTTGGGTTGTAACACCCAGAATACCCTCGAGTTTATTTAGGGTAGGTTGAAAAAAAGGAAAATAGAAAAAAAAAAAAAAAAAACTCAATACCTTTGTTGACGGTATATTAACAACATTGTTAATACATTTACAGGCCGACCCAACAGTATTATAAAAAAAAAAAAAGGGGGTTTAGGGAGGCCGATACCTCCTAAAAAACTTAATAGGATAAAAGTAAACTTTTTAAAATAATTGAGATAAAAGTATATATGCTAAAAAAATGTCAAAAAAACCCTTTTACCCCTACCATAAATAATGCATACCTAATTGAATGTGAGACTTTCAAGATTAGAATGTGAGACTTTTATGATTTATTTTAATATTTGTATATCATTTAAATTTTGAAATTTCATATATATACACACATACACACACGTAATACAGTGACATCAAACAGTGACACACTCAACAAAAAAAGAGTAACATCAAACAGTAACACACTCAACAAAAAAATAGTAACGTCAAACAGTAACACACTTAACAAAAAAATAGTAATATCAAACAGTAATACAAATATTTTTGTTGAACGTGTCGCTGTTTTATGTTACTTTTTTTTTGTTGAGCATGTCACTTTTTGATGTTATTATTTTTTTGTTGAGTGTGTTACTGTTTGATGTCACTGTATTACGTGTGGGTGTGTATATGTGTGGGTGTGTGTGTGTTTATATATAAAATTTCAAAATTCAAATGATACACAAATATCAAGAAAAATTTTGAAAGTCTCATATTCTAATCTTGAAAGTCTTACATTCAAGTAGGTATGCACTATTTATGGTAGGGGTAATTATGAAATACATTTTAGAAAAAATTTGAAAATATTTTAAAATGTGTACTTATTGACAACTATTTGATGAAAAAGAAGACTTAAAGGAGAATAAATTTTGAGGTGGTACTTAAAGTCAAATAAGTTTTGAAAAAGGTATTCACATACTATTATCTCAAAAAAAAAAAAGCATAGGCTTTAGGCCCAAGTTTAAGAAGGGCCCATAATTTTAGGTATATTATTAGCCTATAAAAAAAATTAAGTCCATTAAATTTTAAACTCTAAAAAATTAAGTCAAATCAAAATTTTTAGGGTTTTTTAGATGTGGGTACAATTTTGTAGACTTATAATTTTTATAAAACTTTTTGTGTTTAGGTACAAAATTCAAAATGAATTGAAATCTTTTTTACCTAAACACTTTTCCTTAATTTATGCAGTCATCATTGACAGTTATTTGAGAAAACAAATATATAAAAATTAACAATAATAATGAAAAATAAAATAAGAGTTTACATAGTGCGAAAGAAAGCAAAAGTAGAGATATTTTGTGTTAGAAGATGAAGACGAAGATAAGGGAGTTTGAGTGCAACGTGTAAGTGAAATATATATATATAAAGTGAAACTGATATATATATATACACACACATATACATATACAGTTTGTTTCATTTTATATATATATATATATATATGCAGTTTGCTTCTTTATATATATATATATATATAAAGTGAAACAAACAGTTTGTATAAAGTATAAAGTGAAACAAACTGTATATGCATTTTGTAACATATATATATGTCGTCTCATGCTACCAACCTTGCTTCCGTGTCATCGGACCAATAAGAATAAAGTCTTTTATTATGATGATTAATCAAACCTTAAAATTTTCCCCCTCCCCCAAAAAAAAGAGAATCAGTCAAGATGTTTTATTAGATATTACGTATTGTTCATTGTTGAGATGTTAGAAAAAAAGAACTTCTTTGTTTTTTTAATGGGTGTAACTATTTTTTTAATGGGTGTAACTATTTTTTAATAGGTGTAACTATTTTTTTAATGGGTATAACTATTTTTTTTATGAGCGTAACAATTACAGTCTCATACAATTGTTAAGGCATAACGATGTAACGATGATGCAATATTAAATGATGCAACTATTTAGTTTATATAAACAACTGAATGATAAATTGAGTTGATGTCATAATTTTGTGTAACTGTTTGGTTTATTAGAATGCATGAATAACTATTTAGTGTATTATATGACAATTGTAATTACTTGATAAAACTGATTAGTGTTATTGTGTTGTTGTAATATTAATATAAATAGAGTAAGAGAAAGAGAGAGAGAGAGAGAGAGAGAAATTGTTAGAAAAAATATGTCATATTTTACCTCCCATTACTTAATTGTAGCCAAAAAAAAAAAAGGGAAAGAATACAAAAGAGTTTTCATCTATATGCTGTTTACCAATTACAATAGTGACATTTTTAAAAAATATGCACTTTATCTCAAATAAGTTTTTGACTTGTACTTTTGTCCAAATAAGTTTAAAATGTTGTATCGACTTCTAAATTCCCCAAATATTTATTGCAATAATTTAGACCCATGATCTAATCCATAATATTAAAAACCTAAAATTAGAGGTTAAAAAAATAAAAAAGTACTTAAAAGTCAACTCATATTTATCCCCATCTACTCTCTCTCTCTTCTGCAAAAAAAAAAAATAGAAACAAAAGTTTAAATTAAACACACACTCTCTCTCTCCCTCTATGTGGTAAAAAATAAAGCAAAAGTTGAAACTTTTTTCATGCCAACACTAACACATCCTTCTTCTATCTCTCTCTTATATACAAAAATTAAAAATAAGTTATTTTTTTTAAATAGTACTAAAAATAAAAACGCCCATTTAATGTTTTTGCATTAGGTTTCAAATTGCCTTAAGCTCCTGTACATTTCTAGCACATAAACAAAAACATCTTTGCCACAGAGGATTGGGTTGGCTCTTTTTTTTAGGTTTAATGGTTAGAAATGTCCAGACCAACTTATATGTCAAGACTAAGGTATTCATGATACTCTTTAGTACTTGTTTGGATGGATTTTTGGGAAGAATTTGAATTGACTTCCTCAAATTCTTCCAAATACAAACCTTTTTTTTACAAATATGGGATTCGACATTGAATTCGGCCTATACCCATGTTTGGTATACAATATATATATATATATATATATATATATATATATAGACTCACGGATATATCATAATTATTAATAATTATTTCTCTTATAAATAACTATTTTATTTTTAATCAATTTAATTCATACCCATGTTAAGGGGTAAAATTGTTTTTTGAATCCTTAGTTTTGTAACTCATCTTTCCAAACCTACCCTTTAGGTTTGACGAAACCTATGATCATAGGATTAATATTTGGACCAACTGCGGGCCAGATTTGAGAACTGAAGATTAAGAGGGTTGTGTGTTTTTGTTTTATATAAAATAAGTTGTTTGGAAAATAAAGTCCAAAAACAAGGAACAAAAAAAAGATGTTTTTGAAATCAAGGCAAAACAGAAACACGCGCTAAAAGAATTAATGAGATCTAAAATTCGAACTTTCTTAGCAGCAAAAATAGTCATTTTTCACGAATCTATATAAACCCACTTCATTTCTCTCTCCTCTCTATAGCTGCCTCACTCTCTATTGTCTTTCTCACAATCACTGACACCGATGGGGAACAGCCATCTCTGCTCTCTCTCACCCACAGGGAGGTAAGCCCTTTCTCTTTCTTCCTCTTTCATCTCATTTCCTCTCCTCTCATCTCATTGCCTTTGCCTCTGTCTCTACCCGTTTGGTTAAAGATTAGGGCTTTAACCATCTGACTATACGATGTAATTTGTGCTATGAATTTCAATTGCTTGCTTTTTTTTTTTGATTTTGATTTTTTGTATGCATTCTTTGATTTCAGCTCTAAATTTTGGATCAGTGTAGTCGAGTGCTCTTTATATTTTCAAATCAAATTTTGCTTTCAGGGGTA